AAATAAGAGGACAAGAGGGCAAACAAGAGAAAGCCAAGGAAGCTGAGCTCACTTTTCTAATAACCCACTCCTGAAATAACTAACCTACTCCCTAATGTATCATGAGAGCTGAGCCCTCATGAACTAAAGGTCCCTTAAAGGGCCCCACCTTCCAATACTGTTACAGTGGCAATTAAATTTCCACATGAGTTTTGGAAAGGACACTCAAATCATGGCAACTGTGCATTTTTTTTAACTGGGAAAATACAAAAATGAAGATTCTAATGATATTAAAATTTTATTACTCATTTTAAAACAAACCTCTAGTGTTTGTGTCTGAAAAACAATATTCATATGCTATTATTTTTTTCATRTAGGAGTATTCTGTCAGCAGTTTTATTATTTTCTTTTTTTTTTTAAAGAGAGAGAAGAGAGAGAGGATTTTTTAATATTTATTTTTTTTAGTTTTCGGCAGACACAACATCTTTGTTTGTAAGTGGTGCTGAGGATCGAACCCGGACCGCACGCATGCCTGGCGAGCGCACTACTGCTTGAGCCACATCCCCAGCCCAGCAGTTTTATTATTTTCAATTAAAACTTTTTATAAGTATGATTTAATACACTAATATCTGTGCTATACCTGGGTGAAATATATTAGTCTACAAAGAAGTAAATTGTATAAAACATTTCACCTATGCTTGGCCACTATGCATACTTAGAAATAAAAAGATTAATTTATATATATTAGTTGCAGTTGGACACAATACCTTTATTTTATTTGTTTTTATGTAGTGCTGAGGATCGAACCCAGGGTCTCGCCCGCGCTAGGCAAATGCTCTACCACCGCTGAACCACAAACCCAGCCCAAGATTAAATTTTAATGAAGCAGTGGAATTTGACTCTTAGAGACTCTTGAAAACAAGTCACTTTTAATTCTTCCTTTTCAATAAGAATATTAAGTGAGAGTTAAGTGATCTATTATGGTCAAAACAGCCCTAACCACATCAGTGAATGAGCTATTTACATCCTAGAGAGGCATTTACTTTTCCACTACTAGAAGACCTTAACATGACACAGCTGACAAGAGGCAGCTCTATAAGGAAAAGAGATAATCAGGAAAGTTTCAGGAAATATTAAAGATTATGCTCTTTAAAAAAGATTAWGCTCTATCCCAGTGGCTCAGGAGGCTGAGGCAGGAGGATCGGGAGTTCAAAGCCATCCTCAACAACATGAGGCTTCTAAGCAACTCAGTGAAATCCTTTCTCTAAATAAAATACAAAAAAAAAAAAAGTCTGGGGATGTGAGCTCAGTGGTTGAGTGTCCCTGAGTTTAATCCCCTAGTAGCCAAAAAAAAAGTCATGCTCTAAGTGTACACATAATAATTTCTAAGAAAGTAAGTACATGCTGAGAAGTGTTCATCAAAAATACATGATAAATTTTAATCTCTGCATTTATTTACAAGATGAAAGTAAACACAAGGTTTCTGCAGCCCAGATGAGAGTTATTATGCCTTACATCAAGAAATGCACCATTTCCCCACACCTAATACCTCATGATGATGGAATGAGAACCCTTTGGTTARGCCTGCACATTGGAAGAACAGAACCACAGGAAAGGAATGCCAAAATTGTGAATCTGGGAGTTTGTACAGGATAATTATCTAACTGCCACTGTTACCTTACAAAGGAGAGGGCTAAATCTACCTAAGGTAAACAAATTGTCCTCAGGAAGAAAAGAAAGCCCTTGGGTTCTTAACCCTTTGAATATAAATAAATGTCTCCAGGGGGAAGATAAAACAAGCATACTGGATTTACAGTCTTGGCATTGTCTCCAAGGCTCTGGATTTCATATCTTTTAAAATATAAACATATACCTCCTAGAATTTCTTCAACTAGCTATTCAGTCATCTTTTAACTTCCACAGCTTATCCTTTAACCCAGGTTCCAGTTTTCTTAATTTAGAAAGCCCTGCTGACAATGAAGAAATATGGAAATATTTATTTCTCCATATTACTTAGTAAAAACTAATCAAAGTATAGGTATTTGTAGCACTGGTTAATACCTGACACCTACTTCAGATTGTGGTGTTCAAACCCTTTCTGCAGAGCTCTAGGAATTCTTCAGAGGAGCCCCAGAGCCTCTTTGGTAATAGTGGAAGGCAGAGGATAGTAAATGTAGGGGTATAGAGTAAGCAGGGATCTGGGACCCTAATTCCTGCTTTACAAATAGCTCTTTTGCTTCCAAGTATTTTTTGTTGTTGTTGTTGTTGTTCAAGATAAAGTTCTGTGGGCTGGTGTTATAGCTCAATGGTAGAGCACTTGACTAGCATGAGTGAGCCATGGGTTTGATTCTCAGCACTGCATTTAAACAAATAAAATAAAGGCCCATCAACAACTAAAACTATATATTTTWAAAAAGATAAAGCTCTATGAAGAAAAAAAACAAACTTTGAAACCCACAAAAATGAACACACAAAAAAACTTAGATATAAATAAAGATCCACAGCTTTATAAAAACAGACAAGAGCCCATTTATATTTATACTTAAACTTCCTTGTCTTGGTATTCATATTTTAATGAAGTACTTCTAAAACACATCACCACCACTAAGTTAACCAATTATTTTTGGGGGTTCCTCAGGCAGATGTTCAGAAAGTTCTTGAGGTTCTTCTACCTACTGATCCCTCTGTACACAATGCCATTTGAAGATAGCACCTAGTCACTGATCCTTCCTCCCTTCCCTTTCATCTCTCTTCCCCTAAGCTCACCTCCACACAAAGAAATTCAATACAGATAAATGCTGGGGGAACTGACGCCCACCAGCTCAGACATCTAGACTTTAACTCCTTGGTAAAAACATGACAACACCCTGGCTATACTTATAAAGATTCAATAGTTAAGGTTACGTCTACTAATCTCTAAATCTAAAGCCGCACAGTAGTTCCACTTTCAAAATTCTACATGCTTCTTTACCTACTGCATTTTTCAAAGGATGCAATGTTTATCAATTTATATTTCTTAGGAGGCAAATTTGCCTGAAATTCTTGGAACTTCAGTTCTAGTGCTACTTCTGCTTGCTTTGTGAACTTAGGCAAGTCATTTTAACTTCTCTTGGACAATTTCTTATCTGTAAAGAAGAAAGTAGCCTAGTCTCAGAAGAGTACCAACTGGATCTGGAGTTTCATATAATTACTAAGGATTCATTCTCCCACAGTCCTCATATATACTTGTAAATGTGCTGAGAGGCAAACAGTCATGCATAATTTACCTGTCAAAATTTTCCACTATATTTCTTCCCCATACTATCTTTTTTTAAAAATTTTTTTAGTTGTTGATGGACCTTTATTTTTATTTATTTATATGTAGTGCTGAGAATTGAACCCAATGAATGATTCACACATGACAGGCAAGTACTACTATACCACTGAACTACAACCCCAACCCTCTCCCATTTCCAATGCAAGTTCATATGTGTAAAAGATAAAAACATTCCGAAGCATAAGCCAAGTTTTTTAAAAAATTACTTATATTACCTTACTAACAAAGTTGAGACCAAATTGTTTATATCACTTGAAGTTATTTAAAAAAAAGGTAATTCTGATCTCCACTCCCTCACTACCTTCACTTCTCTGCCCCCTCCATAATGTAGACTGATGACAAAAAAGGTGAGAATCACTGATCTACATGATGTATGTGACTTATTCAGTAAATTAGTACTTTTTTAATAATGTACACTTTTTAAGTATTTAAACTTGAGGGGAAGGCAGCATTTTATTTTTCTTGCAGTACTGGGAATTGAACCCAGGGTTTTGCCCACACTAAGGAAGGCCTTTGCCATCCCCAGCTTTTATTCAATAAAGATCTGAGTCTTCAAGTACAGGACAATAAGTTAAGCACGATGGTTGGGAAAAAAAAAAAGGATTTTTAGCCAGGACAGGACTATAATAATGTGGATAAACTGGAGTCCTCAAGGCTTAATTCCATCACTACACCTTGATGGCATTTTCTTACCTTAAATGACTCTACAATTTATGTCTACAGGAGAAAAGAAATATAGGTGAACCATGAAATTTGCCCAGAATAAACCACCAAAAACGAAAAGTCTGTGTTTAAATCTCCGTTCATCAAGGAGGATGGAACCTAGAAGACATCACGCTCTTCAACAAGGCATGTCACAGAACATGTCAAAGAGACAGAATGAAGAGCAATGAAAAGCATGGGTCCCAGCTACCCATCAGGCTGTGATTTAATGAGTCTTAAGGTTAAGATTTCAAAATTCAGAGTGGATCCCTATTACCACATTCTGAGGTAGTAAAGAAAGATTTATAAAACAGTAGTAAACCTAAATTTCATCCTCTAAATAAGATTCTGAAACAGACATCTGATACAAAGTCGTGTTTATTATACATGAAGTGTCATTCTTAAATATTACACTTTTTTTTTCTAATCACAACTTTATAAAACAATCAAGATTTTAAGAGCTTTGGCCACATTTTGCTCTTTTTGAAAATTAGTCTCTCTACTTCCTAACCTTCTCCCTGACTATCTCCCATTTAGAGAGAACTGAAACGAAGGGGGTGAAGTCCASCATTTGTTCATTTGTTTTACTACAGCTTCTCAAGTTATTCAAAGCAGAGAGCTGCTTTCTGAAATGCAGCTAAGYGTTAGGCGTACTTTAAAAAAATAATAATAATGTATACTTTTTAAGTATTTAAACTTGGGGGCAAGGCAGGAGTAAAGGAAAGCATCAAGGCGAGAGCCAAGTGTGATCGAGCAGGGAACGCGCCCGCAGTGGCCAGCCCTTAGGCCGGAGTCGGGGGTTGGAACGTGGCTACCAAGCAGGGCGACCCGAGGACCCGCGGAGCCGCGAGAGCTGGCGAAGACGACTGCCAAGCCACCAAGCCAGGACGCCCGGAGGCGAGAAAGACCAGAGGACTGGACGGGGACGCTCTCCGCAGACACCCCGCGGTAGAAACCTGGGGCTGGGCACCTTTTGCCGCCCGGACAGAGTCTTAGAAGGTACCTGACTGCGGGCGGCCTGTCCACAGCCCCCTCCCGCCGACCCGGCCGGAGAGGAGACCGATTCTCCGCAGAGCCGCCACCCTCGCAAGCGTCGCCTGCATCGCGCACTTCTCAGATGTCTCCAGTCCGCACCACCCGCAGCCACTGGGGGCGCCCGCGGACACGCCAAGCCCCGCCCCAGTAGGGCGGGTCAGAGTGCGACCCAAGTCGCGCCCTCAGCCGAGCGGACTACTTCTCTGTAGGTCGGCCTGAAGACMGTCATTCTGGAAGCGTGCTGGCTCTGCTGGGTGTTCCGCTTTTCCTTTATCCTTTTTCCTTCACTTGAATCTACCTAATCTCCCCACTGTGCAGTAATCTATTTATGTTGCCGCTTTTTGCGGAACCTTTATAAGGTCGGAACCCAAGCGCAGTAGGGCGCTGGCGGCTGGAGGACTGCTTTGACAAAGGACAACCAGTTATCTGTGGCGGGTTGKTCTGCACAGTTCCGGTGAGAGAACGCGGCCGTGAGGACTTCGGCTTTGGTTCCTGAAATGCATCGTCCGAATTTTCGACCCCCGACCCCTCCTTACCCAGCCCCGGGTGTAGGAGGTTGGGGTGGCGGGAGCGGCTTCCGGGGTACCCCGGGCGGGGGCGGACCACGGCCGCCCTCCCCTCGGGACGGGTACGGGAGCCCGCACCACACGCCGCCTTACGGGCACCGGTCTAGGCCCTACGGAAGCAGCCACTCTCCGCGACACGGCGGCAGCTTCTCGGGGGGCCGGTTCGGGTCACCGTCTCCTGGCGGCTACCCTGGCTCGTACTCCAAGTCCCCCGCGGGGTCCCAGCAGCAATTCGGCTACTCCCCGGGGCAGCAGCAGACCCACCCCCAGGTAATAATAGCCAGCGTTTGCCGAGCTCTTACTGTATGGCAGGCATGGTGCTAATATTCCCTTTGTGTGGATTATTTTGTTTAATCCTCTGTGAGGTGAGATAACTGTTGTTAGCCCTGTTTTGCAGATGAGTAAATTGAGGCTTAGAGAAGTATTTTAAGATTATTCTAAAAATGGTAGAGCTGTAGTTCTGCTCTAGAGCCTTTGTGCTTTTAACCAGTAGGCTGCCCTAATTCTCCGTTATCTCTTATTTGCTCTGGGCCTTACCAGTTCGTTTCAGTTAAGTATTTTGAGCAACTGGGCTCTGAGGGAGGCAAAAGTGAAAGAATCCCAGTATATAACTTTTCTAGGTTATAGGCTATTGCCATCTTCCTGCAACTGTCAACTTTTTTTTTTCTTTCTTTAAACTCTCTTTTTGAGCTTCATTGTCTTCTGGGCCAAGTTCTCTCAAGGGAAGGTCGGTAATAGTGGAAGTTCCCTTTTCTCTCAGTGAATACAAGAGTATTGTGTCTAGGATTTCTTTGGCTTGGCTCTGCTTAGTGTTTTCCAACTTTGTATATGCTAAACAAACCCCACCCCTTTGAGCCTGGAGCTAATGAGTTGTAAATTTCTATGAGAAAGGTTTTAGAAGTTATGTGTAGGGTTAAAAAAAAAAAGTTTTAATTTTCCTCCAGGGAAAAAAAAAAGTATTTTGTCACGGCTTGTACTTGATTTCATCACCATTAGTCTTCAATAATTGCAGATTTATTACATTGGCAACTCAAAAAAGTAGTTGAGGGGACAGTGGGCATGGAATCATTATTAAATAAGTATGCTAAATTTTTTTTAAATACCTTTAACACAAACTAGATTAAAGGAAACTTGGACTTAGCAATTGAACATACCTGGTTTCATATGACAGCTTTTAACCAGCAATGTGATCCCCATTAGCCTTAAAAAAAAAAAAAAAAAAAAAAACTACCAGTTACCTCTACTAAATGTTTTTTTTATTTTAACTGATGATTTTTTTCCTAAAGGGTTCTCCAAGGACATCCACACCATTTGGATCAGGGCGTGGTAGAGAAAAAAGAATGTCTAATGAGTTGGAAAGTTATTTCAAGCCTTCAATGCTTGAAGATCCTTGGGCTGGCCTAGAACCAGTATCTGTAGTGGACATAAGCCAACAATACAGCAATACTCAAACATTCACAGGCAAAAAAGGAAGATACTTTTGTTAACATTTCTGAAATTCAACTGGAAGCTTCATGTGTCAGGAACATCTTGGACAAAACTTTTACTTGTGAAAATAAGTTGAACCCAAAGATGTTGATTTTGAATAATTAGTAGGACCTTGGTATTTTTCATTATATCAAGTGTTGTTATTAGAGAAGAATGTAGGATAATTTTCAGTATTTAGTTCTCTGAAAGTGCCTATCACATTTAGACTTACAGTTTCAATATATTTAACATTCCTGGTTATATAATGGACATTTGTCTTTTAAATGTTTTTCTAATGTTTTAAAATAAAACATTTTGTCTTTCTAGCTATATTGTGGTTTTGTGATATGATAAAGAAGTAGAATAACTAAAATAATGCTTTGTAATCACTTAGAATTTATAGGTAAATGTTTTGCAAATTGTTTTTGAAAATGAATTAGATAAACTATTTCTATCTCATGTCTATTCTTTTAGCTATAGACAATTCTATATTCCTAAAAAGGAAGCAAATAGCGAAGTTCTATTTGTATCCACTATATTGTTCTACATGCATATTTTATTTAATGCTTCTATTGAAACACATTGAAACTTGATTTCAAATCACAGAACCTCACTTAGAATAAGTTTATACTCATTAAACCAGAAAAGACAAGGATATTCATGCATAGGTAGATCAATGTATTCATCTGAATTTCTATCTCTTATCACTATAGTCATTTACTTTTGAGACCAAAGAAGATATTTACCAACAAACCCAAATAACTTCCATCACAAAAAGAGCATCTCTTAATTCCATCAGTCTTGAATAAGTCATGCTCAGACATGTKTTGTACTCTTAAGCCAATTAAGTTTGACCATTGCAGTAAGGCCCTTGAGCTTGAATAACATATCCAACCTGATATTGGAAGACAGTTCTGTGATCGTTAGCCCCATTGAGCCWACTTGGAGTAGAGAAATGGTTTCCTAAAGAAAGGAAAGCTATGTGTATGTATCAATAACAATGGAAGTAAAAAAAATGAATATTTCCTCAATTATGAAAAACAAAGTCAAGCCTTACAATGTGCAATGAAATCTTTTTAGATGTTTTGAAGGCACAAACTAGATAGTTAAAATTTTGTTTCAACCCCGCCCCCCCAAAAAAATCTAAGAATGAAATGTTTGAGCCATACCCAGTTATGTTCAGTTCATTGGGTCTCTCATAGGGACAAAACAGAATGGAAGGATTTTAGATTAATTATAGTTCCAGGAGAGCCAGCACTTTGGAAATTCTCTTTCTACCAATTATTAGCTGGATAAGTTTACTTCTCTGTGCCTTAATTTTCTCATATGTAAAATGAGGAAATTTACAGTATCTGTCAGAGGTGTTGTGTTTGAAGATTAAATAGGTTCATATGTGTGAAACTCTTTGGCTAGGGCCTGGCACATAGTAAGCACTCATTTATCCCTGTGTCCTCAGTTTTTAGAATAGTGCCTATAAAACTTGTAGGCTCTAGGGGCTAGGGTTGTAGCTCAGCAGTAGAGTGCTCGCCTCTCATGTGGGAGGCCCTGGGTTTGATCTTCAGCACCACATAAAAATAAATTTAAAAAAATAAAATGTATTTAAAAATATATACTCTTTAAAAAAACTTGTATATACTCTTAAAAAAAACTTTGATGAGTAAATATAGAAATTCTAATTATAACTATGATATTTATCTATTTCCATGTATATAAAAGGAATAGATTAGTAATTACACTCAGCATTTTAAAAGCCCTTTTTCTCTAACATCTTTCCATGTTGAGATCATGATGTATGATGAACTTATACTATATAAAATTACTGATTCTCTACAAAAATAGGATACTTTTGTAAATAGCTTTATTGAACTTAATAGGTAAGAAATATCTTAAGGAAATGACAGTTGGAAATAATTATTACAGTCTCTAGAGATTGTTGGGATTATTGGCAAAAAAAAAAGTTTGGAAGCCAGGTATGGTGGCAAGTGCCTATAATCCCATCTATTCAGGGGGCTGAGGCAGGAGGATCACAAAATTGAAGCCAGCATGATCAACTTATCTAGACTGTGTCTCAAAAAAAGAAAAGGAAATTAGGAAAAATTTTATGTGAATGTATTCATACAATATTTGGAAGACATTCAGATGTAACTCTTCTAATGGTTTTTGTGCATTTTATTTCACTACTGTACTTTTATAAGTGAAATATATTAAAAAATTTCTTTCTTGCCAAGTTACCAATATTTACTTACAGAGATCTGGCCTTGTCTGACTTTTTTAAGAGAACATTTTAATATATATACACCATCATTACTGTATTCTCTAATCAAAGTTCTTATGGCATGGGTCATTTTGTTAGTTTCTATTCTTTGTTTAGCTGAGTGAAAGGAATTGATCATTCTTTAAAATAGAAAGTGATTGGATGTTTAATATTCCAGAATACACATTCTAGAATTCTTCATAGAATTGCTGAGCATCTTTTTTGAAAAAATCCTTGAGTGTGCTTCTTAGGAATTCAGATAATTAAAGAATGGTGACAATGTAAACTGCAGAGAGGGTCTTCAAACAAGGGTATGCATACTCCTGGGAGTATTTTACTTTCCAAGGAATACGCAGGCATGGATAGTTTTAACAGAATCCAAATTCAGATCCTCAATTCCCATATGAAGTATTTGTTAGAAAAAGATCTACCTAAGAATATGCCCATGGCAAAGGGATAATACAAGTTCCACTTTTCATCCTTTCCCATTTCATAAAAAATCTGTGGTGGGCTAGGGTCCTAGCCCTAGCTCAGCGTAAAGCGCTCACCTAGCACATGCGAGACCCTGGGTTMGATCCTCAGCACCACATAAAAATAAATAAAATGAAAGGTATTGTGTCCATCTACAACTAAAATAAAAATAAAAATAGCTGTACCATATTATTTTTCTCAAAAATTACCCCAACAGTATTCAAATTTCCCCATATTCTTCCAGAACCTTGCCATTACCCCATCAAGATGTGTCCCTTCCCTTTACCCTAAGCAGACCTTTCTGACAACCCTAAGAAGCAAAA